AACAGGCCTTCGGTGAGGCAGCCCTTCTCAGTTCGCCTGAAGGGTCTAGCTGAGGAAACTGGAGTGTCACTTGAACACAGTTTAATGGCTCCGGTAGTATACCCGCCACCGTGGCAGTGGCAGATTATAGACTGCGATGTGTCTTTTCTAGAAGTTACAAAACATGCACCTATTGCCCATATTCGAAACTACTTCCTGTAACTTCAACACAAATACACACGTCCTGAGTTCTTCACAGATGCCTCCAAGACTAACTCCTCTGTGTCCTACGCTGCTGTTGGCCCATCCTTTTCGGATGCTGGCCCTCTACATCCACGCACAAGTATCTTCACAGCGGAAGCTTACGCGATACTGGTGGCAGCTAAACACATCAAACAATTACAAATACAAAAAGCAGTAATTTATACAGACTCCCTCAGTGTGGTTACGGCTCTGCACAATCTTAAAAAACAAAAAAAACCCTGTCCTCATCTCACTTTACTCTATTTTATGCACACTCTACACACTCAACAGACATGTTGTTGTGTGCTGGGTGCCAGGGCACCGTGAGATTCAAGGCAACATGATGGCGGATCAGCTTGCTGCATCCGCCCACGAAAGCACCGCCATTACACCGACATCAATCCTGGCCCTTGATCTTAAGCCGTCTCTCAAACGAAAGGTCAGGGACTACTGGTAGAGCAAGTGGGATAGACACACACAAAACAAGCTACACGTTATCAAGCCACACCTTGGCCATTGGCCACCAGTATCAAAATCACGTCTAACAGAGGTAACAATAACAAGGCTCAGGATAGGACACACATACACGACACACTCATATCTTTTGTCCGGTGGCGATCCACCATTGTGTGACAGATGTGGTGAGGCATTAACAGCTCTACGTTTTAATCCAGTGTAAACAATTAGACACTCTAAGAAGACAACACTTTCCGTTACCCTACCAACAACATATACCATTACACCCTGCAATGTTAGTCGGTAGGGAACCACTTTTCACCCATAAATCATTGCTAGCTTTTTTAAGAAATGTCGGTTTTTTACCATGTAATATACCCAGGCATTGCGTAGCGTGACCTCTCAAGAGAGGTTGCTGCTGCAGTGGCTACATTGAGAAGCACTTGCCTCTCGGCCCTTGGACACAAGGGCGCTGATGAGGCATTTGTGCTAGTGCCAAATAGTTTTACAATTGCTTTTATTATCGAAACTTTTTGTCACCCATCTTTACTATCCATATCACGTTTTACCCGCGTTAGCGCGAGGAATTTTAAAGCCCCTATACAGCCACGCACCATATCATTGTCCACATATTTAGTCACTGAAATGGCGCTTTTTGGCCACCAATTGGCCCTTGTGCCATTAAGCCCTACACATCAACTTTCAACTCGTGCGCCGCTACCACCGACTCGTGAGCCACTGCCAAGTGATAGTCTGCTGGAGGAAACGTGACCAAAGAATAGTGGCGGCTATGACATCGTCATAACTTGCTGCAGCGTTGTCACGTGAGGGAAGCAGAAATCCCCAAGGGTCTCCCTTGAGGGTGTCAATAGCACGATGAAGTTGATTGCTCATGCAAACTTCAAAATTAATTTAAAGTACCTTCAGCGCTCTATTCACTGTTTATATCTGGCAGATCATACAAGCATGTTGATGGGAATCGATCTTGCAGGCTATCTCAGCTGCAAAATTTCGTGTCAATACCCCTTTAACGAAATTCGAATAGAAGTTTATTCTTTCTCTACATGCTTCTGTAAACTTTATTTCGACATAGCGAAATCGGATATAATGAATGATCGGTTATAACGAAGTAAATGAAGGATTGGTCTGTCATAGATTCAGTGCTGCAAATATATGTTCATAAAAAATTTTCGGGTGTAACGAAGTATTTTCGTGCTAGGTGCAACATTGTTATAATGAAGTTTCAGTATACTGCCTCTGCTCCTGTAATGCATCTGTGTACTGTATGTATGCCAATGTATACTTTGGCCGATTGATACTAATGCCTTATCAGCAAAAGCGCATCACATTCTGTAGCAGGGAAGCCAGAGACTTGACATAAAAAGATTCTGTAACTTTTGTCGAGCCAAAGCGGTCAAATTATGAAAACAAATTAAAATTTGTGAAGTTGGACTTGCAAAGCAGTGTTTGGTGTCTTGGTGCGAAATCGGAAAAAAAATAAAAGGTTCGTTCGATTCACCTGCCCCATTTAAACTCATTCACGAAGTGCTGCACCTTGCCATTTTTGTCGGCAATGGAGCAATGGTGACCTCCGAACGAGGCCATTCATTTGAAATGGTTTGGGAGAGGTGCTGCGCCGGTTCACGATCTTCCAGCTCCCCCCTGTGCTGGCAGTGATGGCTTGATGCAGTTGTCCATGTGCGCACTAGAAGCTGTGCAGACGACACAGCAGTCAGACGTAGGCGCCGCACCTCATTTGCTAAATGTGGTGTGTTTTGCCGAGTTGTTCATGCCTCAAAATTGTCCACATGTGCAGTTTGCCAACAGTCAGTTTTAGGTTATAAAATAATAATGATATCTGCAGTTTAACGACCCAAAATCACGATATGATTGAAAGGTGCTGTAGCGGAGGGCTCCGGAAATTTCGACCACCTGCAGTTCTTAAACGTCCACCTAAATTTAAGTACACGGGCCCCAAACATTTCTGCCTGAATTATTCAGCTGCCGCAGCTGAGATTCGACCCTGCGGCCTTCGGGTCAGCAGTCTAGCAGCATCACCACTAGACCATCGTGGCGGGGGTTGTCGATGATTGGTGGGCGGCATAAATTAAGCGAACAAAAACAAGACTTGCGCCATGTCGGCACCTCATCATTTGTTTCTGGTGTTGCACTATGCCTGCATCGCTGAAATTATGCACCTCAGTGAATTGGTGGCTATGGCACTTGGAGCCTGACCCGAAGGTTGCGGGTTCGGTCTCAGCTGCAGCGTTTGCATTTCAGTAGAGACGAAATTTTAGAAGCCCATGTACTGTATGGCGTCCCTCATCACACCATGGTTTTGGCATGTAACACTACAGATATTATTATTATTATTATTATTATTATTATTATTATTATTATTATTATTATTATTATTATTATTATTATTATTATTATGCATCACTGAACTTGTACAGCTCAGTTTCTGAATATCTCCTGCACAGCTGTGAAATGGCTTGATTGGTGCAAGCGAAACAAGTGAGCCTAAAATACTTACCTTAATTTCCCTTCTCATAGCGGAGCTATGGTGTTGCCGGAAAGTTAGTGATCCTAGAGATTTCAAAGAATAATGTAATAGACTAAACTGGTTTAACATCCAGTTACAGTGCCTTTTTAACATTCAGCCACAGAATATAGGTTATCTCCCCTCGACATTTATACTGTCAACGGACACATTTATTTGTGTCCGTGTTTCCATGCCCTGTCTTTTTCAATGAATCTCTCCTCTTTTTACCACCGAAAGAGGTTATGGCCCTGAGGCTGCCAGGACTGAAATTCACTCGCTGCCGTTGGTTGATCTGGTGCTCGGGACACGCAGGGCTTGAAGGCAGACAAAAGGGCAGACGCTCTAGCTTGCGCATTTTGTAACTAAGCAGACAATCCTTCTATTTCGTTGATTGTACCAACTCTACCTGTGGAGATTCCTTCACATGACAAAAAAAAAAAGTGTGGGACACCTCACAGATCCCTCAATAGGAAAGAGGCCGCCGACCTTCTTAAAATTGTGGGGTCTCCATGTGGGAAGCACCACGCTCTTGGAGCAAACGGATTCAGTAGACACGGTTGGAACGAACCAAAACAACAGATGTTTATTTAACTGCCTTTAGAACAACTATATCGTCAGCCGAATAGTTATAATATCAAATGGGACCAATACGCTCAACAATCTCACACAACACTCAACAATATGACAAACACAAGGTGGTGTCGCCAACCGCTGACTCACCACAAGGGCCCCCAGCAGACGGCTTGCGGTGCTGTGCACTGGGGTCCCATCATGAGAGATAACCGTTTGTGCCAACTGCCACCCGTCAAAGAGGACCGCTCATATCTCGAGCGCCGCCACCGAAGCCTGCCATCAGGCATCACTGCCGGCGCTATGCGCTAATCATGAGGATGATGATGTTGATAAAAAAGGCTCACGAGCACTACGCCCCCTTCTGCACAGTAGTTGTCAACCCAAAACGCGGCCTATTCGTGAAACACATGCGCCGTGAGGCTCAAACAACTTTACAGGGGGTGTTAGCACCTTTACATCATTCAGATGTACGTATGTCCGTATCTACTCCAATTACGCTCAATACATTTTGCACCATACATGGTCATCTGTCCTTGGTGCGACAGTTGGCCGACTCTCTACCACATGTAGTGGGGATGTGGTTCTAAACCAAATGACCAAGCCACTATCCTCAGCAAACCTGCAACATCTAGTACGGAGCAGTGTGAGGCACAACTCACCAGCTCAGACCTTGGAGTGCAGCTCGTGCTCTTGGATCAACTTTCGTTGCTGGCTAAGGCCTATGAAGCTCTGGACATAGGATTTTAGTTATAGGAGGTCCAAGGTCCCCTTTCCCTTTCACTTGAATAAAGTTTCACTCTGCTCTTTCGTTGGCCTGCCCTCTGGATGTCGAATGGTGACGTTTGGCAGTACACTCGTACCTTGATATAACGAACCTGGATATAACAAAATACCGGTTATAATGAAGTAAATGAAGAACAGTCTTGCAATTGGTGAATCGTTAGGAATATATCCTTACAATGAATTTTTTAATATAACAAACTTATTTAGTGTAAGATTCAAATTTGTTATAACAAAGTTTGGGTGTACTATTCAAACGGCTGTTTCAGTCATTGCCAATTGTGGGCTTGGGCTTCCGATTCTGGGCAGCAGCATTTTAGCCTTGACGTAGGTGGATAGCAAGCACAGTCCTATGTTAATAAGGACAGTATGCATTTTGCATGAAGGATATTGTGCAGTGGCCTGAAGCCCATTTTGTTTTCAGCTATTCTGGAAAACCACAGCCTGCTGATTTCGTATTACGAGCCCAAGATGACTTACGCCTGTTTCGGGAAGCCGCTGATCGGGACAGACAGCGTGCGCAAGCTGTCCTCCGTCGACGCCAAACTTGTCACGTTTGACATCCTGGGATTGCCGGGACGGCGTCTCGAACGAAAGTTGAGCCTCAATTCACTGAAAGACTGGGTAAGGCGAATTTCTGGGGGTGTTGGGAAAAGGAGGCATGGGTAGGGAATGAGAGTAAAACCCCGAAAACGCCACTTACTGCAAAACGATGCTTGGTAAGCAAGAAAACGCGCAAAAAGAAAATGCGGGTGGAGACGTCATTGTCTGATTACCGCAGCCCCAAGCGCAGCGACGTCTTGGATTTCTAAGGCATCTACTTGGTCCTACGTAGCTTCTATTCGATACAAATAGAGTACATTGTCATCTAACGCACCAAGTTTCCGAGAATCTCATCGAGTCACTGTCGCAAAAAATATGAAAAATGTATTTGAAAATTTTGACGTCGTGCATGGAGATACTGGCGCAAAATTTAAAAATGAAACTTCATCTTTTATTTTCTCACTAATGATGAACTTGTGATAGTGGGACATGTGGCTCTAGAGTTCTCTGAGTGAAGTTTGTCAACATAAAGCGAGCCATTGTTTCTCCTTAGTTTTCCTTTAATGAGTACTCACACCACTTAGTAGTGCCAGGTCAGGGTGCACGTCTCATGATTATAAAGAACTGAGGGGTGACCGGTGACACCGGGAATCAAACCCAGTATCTCCTGCATTCGGGGCACATGCTCCACTATAACCCTTGCCAGTGACCAGTGCATACTTAAAATGCAATTGTGAGAAAGATTTGATGGTAATGTGTTGATCTCTGTTTTTTTTTTTTTTCTGAAAATAATCCTATGGAGAACTATTACAGATTTTTTTTATTCTAAATCGGGTCTGTATATTTTTGTATAAGAATACAGTGGACTCTCAGTAAACGGAAATCTGATTAATGGAACTGCTGCTAGAAGGGAACAACTGCCTCTGATATGATTGGTTTCATCCCTGCATAGCGCACCCCAGTTCATCTCTTGGTAAATGGAACTCCTGTTAAACTGAACACATTTTCTCGGTTTCAGGTTCCTTTTAATGAAAGTCCACTGTAATTAACTTTCAGGTTCCAAATACTTAGGTAACTTATTATTGATCACATGCATCATCAGAAAGCAAAAGTTTTAGTTTGGGTGTTGTTTCTGGTGTGCGGCTTGTTGAGCGTTGTTTTGTCATGGGGTTGTGATAGTAAGTTAGATTTCAATCAGACTGTTAATGGTGAAACTATTCATTGGGAAAACTTGTACCACAAAAATCAAGTAACTTTCACTGTACAAGCGATTAGCATTCACAAGATAGGAATATTGACTAGCGCAGTCGTTGATTGTCGAATAATCTGATGGTCAGCAAAAAATGTTTCCCTTTATGCATGAGTGATATTTCTGGTGCTCTCATAACTCATCTGCTCACGTCGTGCATGTAATCCTATTCTAACAGTTTGTAAATATTGCAAAATTTCTCTAAACATTACAGCATGGCGCATGGGGCACACAAAAAGTAACATGTGGCATATGATGTGCCTCCATAGTTGGTGTACACTCAAACCTCATTATGACAAAGTTGCATCTTAGAAGACAGTAAATGTATTGTGTCCGAAAATTTATTATTAAGGTCATTCCTAACACTTTATTTATTGCAAGACTTTTTCATTTGCTTCGTTATAACTGATATTTTGTTATATCCTTATTCACTATATTGAGGTTTGAGTGTGTACAGTTTTACATGTTGCTGTTGTAAAGGTTATAGCTGGGGCAAGTGAGCAGGTAGATTCATTATGAAACGAAAAGTGTAGTGATTCACAGAGCTCTAAGTCGTTAAGTGAAAATGGTCTTACAACGTAGAAGTGTTTTGTGTTGAAACATGCAAATACGGGGAAAGCTGCACCTTCGTGCCAACTAAGCCCACCTATGTGCAGTAAAGCCCATCTTTGCGATAAAGTTCCTCTAAAGCTTGGCTTCTCTTGCGCAGACTCGTCATTTGGTTTCACATGGTACGATCGATAGCTCGCACTAAAGATAATGTACTATATCTTTCGAACGTGTTGTGCGATTTTTTCAGCTCTTTTAGTAGAATAAATGCATGCTGTGCTAGATGGCTTGGTGCTTGTCATGTGCAGGTGTTGAACTGGTGGTCGGTAGGTGACGGGGAGGTGTGGCCCTGGATGCCGTCGACATCCAATCGGGAAAGATCGAACATGGTTGTCTATGCGTTGAATGGGTGAGCAATTGTTTAATAGTGCACACTCAGTGTCTTCTCATTAATATGCATTCTGTTGGGGTGACTAGAATTGGTGTAGACGAAAGTCGTTTTGATCAAGCGCTGATAGGATGCTTACAATAGTGGTCCGACTCAAACTTTTCAAAAATTTATGGTAATCATTGTCAAGGAATTTCTTAAATCCCTGTCAATTTATTTATTTATTTATTAAAGTTTAGGTAGGCCACTAGATGTAAATTGTTTTATTTTTATTGCCATTTTTATGTGGTACTAGACAGTGAAAACTTTCTCACTGGATTTTATTGAGATGCTCAATACTATACAATAAAAAAAAAACAAATATGCCATGTTAGTATGTTATTCGTAACAGGCTTATTATATATGGCCATGGTAGGCATCAGACTGCTCAGCTGGACTATTTGAAATAGGTGTACACTAAATGCTTGAGAAATGGCAGATTTGAATGGGCTAATCTGCTGCTTTAAAAAAAATGTAGTTTTAAGGTAATACAGGCTAGAACTAAAATGAGGTGCACCACAAGGGAAAAACTTCAAATTAATTTTCACCACCATAGTTTCCCTAATGTGCTCCTAAATATAGTGTACATACACATTTTGCATTTTGTCCCCATTTAACTGCATCTGCTGTTGCTGGAATCGAACCCACAACCTCTATTATGCAAACCCGACTTCATACCTACAGGACTGTGGTGGATGCCTTTTCTTGCGCTGTTTAAGTTTGTTATCGCGGCCCAAACTTTTCTAATTTATTTCTTGGCCTGAGCTTTAAGAAAAAATCTTTTCTAAAAAAATTTTTGTTGAGGATGACTAGTGTTGAGGATGACTGGTGTTTTGTTGAGGATGACTGGAATAGCACATGTCCATGATCCTTATTACTCGGTCCCCATCTACCAGAGTGAACCAATATACTGTCGGCCGCAGTTTTATAATGGAGGTTTTGAATATTGCTGCAAGCACGGTTTGATGAATCAATTCGCTCACTTTCAGACCCAACATTGAGTTGCTCACCTATGGAAGAATAGACAAGGTTCCAGTTTTGGTGTCTTTCAGGTGAGCTCTCAATACCTCACTCTTGCAGCATGAGCAACTTCAGAAAGCTTCAACTTCGCAGTGTTTGTACAAAGTTGCAAGTTCAATTGTGATTTCATGTATTCTGTTTTGTTCTCTCTAATCAGTCAGTACCAGTCGAACAAACTCCTGATTGTCGAAGAGGATGCTTCTCGTGGTGGCAGCGTCGCCGTTGACGTCTGTGTGTACGAGCTTGGCAGAGGAAAGGTGAGCCACCAATTACTAATCATGTAGCTCGTTGAAAACAAGACAGGCATAACGATGCATTAGCCTTGGTTGCATTTGTTCTGAATACTTTGCGTTACAGTAGGGTTATGCTTCAAAAACAGTGGCACCGATTCTAGCACATTCCTGTCACTCGGCAGTAATCGTCATCTATATTACATGCCATATCTTGACGTTACATGCCCAGTTCTTCCAGGTCACAAACATTCATGATCGGTCTATTTGTGACTTTTCATGACTCAGAAATACTGGAAGGATAAGAAACAGTCATGAAACGCTATGAAGGCGATATGGCACTCGAAAAGTAGCAACCGCACAATTTATAATAAAGGCAGCACAAGCAGGCAGAACGATGATTATCTTTGGCTACAAAGAGATGTCTCCAAATGTTGCAGCTATTTTTAAAATAAGACTTCAATGATTGATTGATTGATATGTAGGGTTTAACGTTCCAAAACCACCATATGATTATGAGAGACGCCGTAGTGGAGGACTCCGGAAAATTCGACCACCTGGGGTTCTTTAACGTCCACCCAAGTCTGAGCACACAGGCCTACAGCATTTTCACCTCCCATCGAAAATGCCGTCGCCGTAGCCGGGATTCGATCCCGCGCTTGAAGTAAGGCTTCAGAGGAAATGGCTCGATGCAGAGCTGACAAACTTTTGACCAGCTTAACTTAAATGTGCCAGGGAAACGGACAGAGACTACACTGTACCAACTTTCATATTTCACGCATATGCATACACACATGTGGAGGCGTTTGTGCATAAAACTGAAAACAAATACTCGGCATCGGCACTTCATATCAGCTACGAACAGCAAGACCACTATGCAAGCGGAAGTCACCTGCAGGAGTATCCACAATCAACAATGTCGAATTGCTTAAATTGCAATTAGTCACATCATGCACAGTTTGTCCGAGTTTCAAAGAATGCATCTTTTGCTTCTTCACTGAACTGTTGAGCCCACTGACATAACAATAATGTGGGTACCGTAGAAATTTTTCATTTGTATTTCATTGCCAAACTTGTTATGTCAGAACAGTGTTATGTTGAAATGATGGTGGTGCCAGCATCATATGGTAGTCAAATTTCCCAATATCTGAGCTGTGGCCAGATGTCTATTTTTGTATGTTTTACTCATTCTTTTCGCACATTTATTTCCTTGTTCATTTGTTTGCTGGTACCGTGTCTTTCAGTTCGAAAGGGTTTCCATGATATCGATCTCTTTACAAGGTAAGCTAACTCTCTCATCTTCAAAAACGTAGCAAACAAGCATTGATGCCTGATGACTGTTTTTTTTTTTCATAGGTCGTGTGGTGACGTCACAATGGAATAATGCAGAAGACAAGCTTGTGCTACTGTGTGATGACGCATCCTTGGTGAGTGCATATAGTCGTACCTTATCACAAATATTCATAAAATTTAATTGTAATGCGAATAACTACAGAAACCTTAGAGCTCTTTCTCCATGTCACATCACTGTTGTGGAATAGATGCTTGTCAGTTCAACAAAGGAGCCTTATAATAAGTTAAGATTATGCAGTGTGAAATGAATTTAATTATTGTCAATATACATTTAAGGCCTGATTTTTCAACTTCCTGGTAACTATTAAATTGTCTAAGAAGTCAGGTGAGCCAAAATATTACGTACTTAGCAAAACGTTATATCGAGCTAAGTAGTTGGTAGTCCATAAGTAGATCATACCGTGAGTAACGAAATTAAAAATTAGATACACTCAGTCTGATTTTTAACGCAATAGCATTAAAGAGCTCGTTTCGCTCATATCTTGGCGTCGGTGTTGTTAGTTGTGAGCGACAAACCAGTATAGCCTGTGACCGGAAAATCAAGGAAGATGCAAATAAAATAAATTGTAAAAACCTTCGGCTGAAGTGAGAAGTGAATCCAAGCTTTCTGTGTGGCAGAGAGATGAGCTGCCACAGAACTGCACTGTTTCTTGAAACTGCTTTGGAAAAAAACATGTGAATGTCACGTAGTGGTAGGAGTCTTCTTAATGCGTGTAATACGTGGCAGAAGTGTATAATCATGCGATGCATTGCAATGTGAGTTGGGCTGCGAGGGGGTGTTTCAAAGGCCCACCCATTACAAAGTGCTCAGACAGTAGACTCTCGGAAACTGAAGGGACCAGGAAAATGTTTCGTGTAGCAAGAGTTCAGTTTACTCAGAGATGAGCAGGGGCGTGGAATTCGGGCATGAAACCAATTTTGCTAGAAGCAGCTGGTTCTTTTAACAGGTTTCCATTTACTGAGAGTGTGCACTGTATGTGAAAGGGTACTGACACAAAAATTTCGCGGCCAAGATAGCCTGCCGGGTCGATTCCCGTCCCCGACGTCACCACTCTGCCGTCAATAAAACAAGTTATGGCGATGTCATAGCCGCCATTTTTTTTGCCACGTTTGTTCACGCAGTCTATACTTTTCAGCGACTGGTCCAGAGTGTGTGGCCGTGGCGCACACTTTGAAAGTTTTGTGTTTGGCGACAATGCAGTCCTGTTGCCCATATGAAAGAAATTCTTGATGCCGACCGTGTGGAAGTGTGTCACAGATCTGTGTGCTGACGCGATCGAGAACTGCACACACTAGGTGGCGATAGTTGCACCTGGCGGCTTCTTGTTTTAGATGCGAAGCATCTAATACTCGAGGCTTGTAGTGCGGCGCCGTCCGCAAGCTTCCTCCTTCTTCCACCATCTGTGCATCCCTTCCTCCTCTACACACCGCGCGCGCTTCACTCCTCCACCATCTGTGCACCATTCCTCCTCTACACACCGCGTGCTCTTCTCCTCTTCACGAACATTCGCTAGCTGTATAATGTAGCGCGCATGCGCCGTCACGCTTCGAGAACATCGGCAGCTGACGCGCGCGCATGCGCCGTCGCGCTTCGAGAACATCGGCAGCTGACGCGCGCGCATGCGCCGTTGCGCTTCTCCCCCTTCTCGAACATTCGACAGCTGACAGTGCATGCGCCGTCGCGCTGTATATATACTCAAGGTCGGCGCTCGCTCGCTCAGTTGCCGCTCGTCGGTTGGTTTGTACGGCGCGTCGACATCCAAGGTCGCGATGAAATGAATTCCAACGAATCCACAAACACAATGATCGACGTCCCTTCGACCAGCGCCGCCCTTTCGCATACGTGTGTACGTGTTCACTCATTTAACACCCCCTCCTACAACCACGTTAACCAATTTAGCCATCGACCCAAGTAAGTCGCAATTTAACACACCATTTCACAACCACGTTAACCAATTTAGCCATCGACCCAAGTAAGTCGCACTTTAACACCCCGTTAACCAATTATATGCTCCGCATCCTCCTCAGTGTTCCCCCGAGGGAAGCTGCGGGCAATTTTTTATTTGGAGCTCTCTCAAAGCGGAACTGGAACTGTTCGATAATGAGAGGTCTGTAATTATTTATCTGTCACATGCTGCAGCAAACGATGTGCCGTGTTATGGCTAACAGGCACCCTGCAGCAGAAAAATGAGGCCAGAGTTTGTGTCAGTATTCTCTCTAATCCTCATCAGCAGCAGCAAATGCAACAACTAAGTGGGCAGCTGCGTAGGGTCGCGTGTTACCTACGAATGCATAGTGGGCCCTTTGCTGATTCACTAAAAGAAGTATTATGGAGAGTGGGTGCTGTGCAGATGTACTTGCAGTAGGCTTTGTAAAATAGTTCGAAGCTGCCGATGGTGTGCGTCGTTTTACATTTCTTTACGGCATGGTTGAGGTGTGCACTGAGAATGGAAACCAGGCCAGCGATCGAGAGGGCAGTGCATGTGGGGCCCTATTTCAGCTTCAGCCGCAGTTTTGGAAAGCGTGCATGCAACATCAGGTCTTCAACAAGCAGCACCTTGGCAGCACGTGCGTGCACGTGCGACTGTGCTCCACTGTGCAATGACTGTGAGGTCCTCTCAAGATATCGCAATTGGATTGAGCGCTAAAACGCTGAAGCATTCCAGGTCAAGAAAGAAGGGAACACATGTGTCAGCGAGCCCTCAATCAAGCTTTAAGAAAAGAGAGATAGTGTTTTTGTCGAGTTAAATGTGGTATCTTAACTCATGACAGTTAAGTGTTGCAGTGTCATCGTTTTGACCATGTGACAGTTATTGTCTTTTATTTATTTGCTTTTAATTTGCATTTTTATTATATATATTTCTCCTTGCCATTGCACAGTTGTTCGTCTGCGTTTTTGTTGTTTGTTCCTTAGATTTAGTCCTGTTATCGTGCCGTTTCTTCGCAGGTGGTGGATTTTTATTCTCTTTTTTTATAGTGTGGCAATTTTTACTGATTTTGGTGCAAAGCATGCAAAATAAAACACTCTGTTCGTTCCCATGATTATAGGGGGATACAGCTCAAGCTTAATGTAAATATGGCATTCGTGATTTTGCTATGCAACAAATGCAAAGAAATGATTTATCCTAAAAAAATCAAAAGAACACTAATCACAAGAAATTAAAGAAAAATATGTTTAGTTTTCCTATGACAGGGGCTTTGTTCACAACCTGGGAATGTGATCAATGCACTCACATTGAAGCTGAAATGTTTTCTTCTTGTTCTTTTGGTGTCCATTTTTTTTGCTTGCTTTCTATGATGTTACTTCCTTACGATACAGGCTTCCATGAAATTTTCGACGTCATGTCTTACTCATCCAGCATGACATGTCCTAAATTGCTGCTTCTTTTACTCTTGTTATATACACATTTGTCTCGCTTTCCTGGAAAGTTTCTGCTAAAAGAATGTCCTTGTTTATTGAAGGCAATCTTTAAACTTGCCTCCCCAGGTTCTCTACGATGCTGTGCGACAGACCACACACTTCACCACGACTTCTTTCGTAAGCCCCGACCTATTGTACCCTTGTTCTTGTCATGCCTACTGTTTCATTAGACTTTATTGTGAACACGCTTTCTGTTGTGAACACGCTTTCTGATGCCTTTAAAATCAAGCAAGAAAGAATCTCGGAATGCCCTGGTTGCTTATTAACACTATGGTTCATCCACGTTTTCATTTGCTATTTACACTCAAGCCTCATTATACCAAAGTTCATCTTACACAAAAATAAGTTTGTTATATCTGAAAAATTATTATAAAGGTTTATTCTTAACACTATATCTACTGCAAGACTATATATATTAATTCTTCACTATAACCAGTATTTTGTTATGTCTGGGTTCAATATATCAAGGTTTGAGTGTATTAAATGACCTTAAGTACTGCTACCCAGCTTAAAGCTGCATTACGTTACTTTAGAGTTGTTGCTAATTCATATTAAATTTGATTGAAGTATTGTAATGGGAAACTTACATCATATACACTTGAAACTCAATATGATATCATTAGATAATGCAAAAAGGGATTTCTCGTTACTCAGAAAACTGAAATGGTGATGTAACCACATTTAAATTCTGCCATAGTATTGTTTTCATGAACAGCCTATGCCTACATGTCGGAGCTTGCGATGGTGACCAAGGCACACTGTGTGCTAGCGATGCATGCCAAAAGACGGTCACGTCAAGCTGTGACAGGCTGCCAATGCATGATGACACAGAGAACGAAGGCAGCGATTGTTTGAGCAGTCCGAGCGAGAAAATTTCTTCCAAGAGAGACGATTAGTACTATCTGTCACAGATACCATGTAATCACAAAAGCAAGCACCGCCCACTCTAGCACGTTCTGGAAAGCCGGAGCTGTACTGACTACCGAGTCAGTTATTCCACACATGGACACAGCGTACAGCGCCGTCAAAGTAAAGGTGGGGGTGATAGCTGTGGTGCCTAAATGTTTTAACGTGATAGCATTAGGGCGTGTGCTTGAAGAAAAACCTGTCTCAGTCAAAATAGAAAGGAATAATTGCCTTGTCAGTCGGTTATTTCAGGAAAAAAGCTTCATTAAATCAAGTTTGATGGCCAAATTAGTTCGTTGATTGGGACTGATGAGAACACTGAACCCTATGGATATTTGCCAGGGAAAGGAAATTTCTTTAGTAAAATGGCAATTTTATAAAATTGAGTTTTGTTTGATTGATTTTTAACTGTATGTTATGAAATATACCCACAAAGCCCAGCTCATATAGTATCTGGTGTAATGAAAAGCTCCATGCAGGCAACGCTGGTGTCCAAGGTGTGCAGAACAGTAGATTCTCATTAAACGGAACCTGGAGGGACCACGAAAATATGTGCCGTTTAACAGGTTTTCCGTTTACTGGGAGATGGACAAGGGTGCAGAATACAAGAACAAAACCAATCTTCCCGGAAGCACCTGTTCCCTTTAAACAGTAGTTTCATTTAACAGATTTCTGTTTACTGAGAGTCTACTTTAGTATGTTGCTATTGAATTTGCATCAATTTATGCGGTTGTAAATGCATTGCTACATTCTCGCTGAGAAATGCATATTTCAAATGCTACCAAATCGTGTAGCAGTCCTCGGTGAACATAGAAGAGGAATAGCCATGCAGAATCAAGCTCTTAATTAAGTATATGTTCAGGAGAACAGAAATGCCTTCACTTGATAATTGTGTCATTGGGTCACTCACTATTGATCGTCACTTATAGGTTGGAACAAAAGTCACCTGGCATCCGAGCGGCTCTGTTGTGTTTTTTGCCTCAGAAGAAGGACAGCTTCAGGTAAGACCTTCGTTGGCTTCGTTATCTGCCTTGCTTAATTAAGTTCCAGTTGATAGTTTGACATGTTCATCAGACACGTGCATGGCAAGGACTAAAATTCAACAGATGTCACGTTGAAAACAATATTAAAAACTGGGATGCGGCCACTGAAGTCAATTTTCGCAGTGACCTTAAAGGCCTTCATGAGGCTATTACATTAGGGAAGCCCTAATAATCGACATCAAGCATTTTTGAAAGATTGTGTAGAATAAAATTAATTGGCATTTCCACAAAATTTTTGACATTTGTAGAGTTGAATGCATCTAAAGTATTAAGCGTACAGCTTTGTAGTAACTCTATCGACTAAAGATTGTATTAAATCTAAAGTAGATAAAATTCATACAGTATACAGTTGTGTCAAAGATACCATTAAGCATTATAATAATTTCATGTGCACAGTGAGTTCATGTTTTGCAGTTGTGAGATTGAGATCGTATACTTTAATAGATGCCATTGACAGAGCTGGAATAATTTTGGTGCTATGTCATGAACTTGTCAACAGTGATCTCATTGCTTTTTTTTTTTTAACTTTACAAGCGTTGATCATTCATGTCAAAATCCTCATTTGACATTGTGCTACCTACTGTACATAATTGTTACAATGTTACTTTCTCAATTTCAACAAGCTTTCTACCAATTAGTTCTGTAGTTTTCTCATAAAGACATGTCAGTAAATCCAGTGAACAGTAATAATAAAAGTAATAACATACCTATGTTTGATAGGGATGCAGAAGTTGATGTCAAGTTTGTCTTAGCTGTGCTTAATTACTATTTCTCGCTCACTGAAATAAAATTGTTCATATTTGGATGACATGTGTCTGCTTTACCTTTTGCTTGTCAGGTGTTTCTGGCTGTGACGCGCCCCCGGTGTTGGCTCGGTTCTGTGAATATCAGCTGCTGTTGAAACGCGGAGAATTAGAATGTTATGAAATCAAAACGATATTTCCTGAAAGTGGATTACAACAACTTCGTTTGCTGCCAATAACAGTAAGTAAGGCCGTGGAGATGCAGTGAAAGCAGCAATAGAGTCATGTCTGGGTCTACCAGAGAAACAACGTGCGCCCGGGAACATTATAGCAGACAAGCCAGCAGAATACAAAAAAAAAGGCCCCTCCAAAGCCAACAGCAGATCGCAAAACAATCCTTGCACGCTTAATTACATGCGTGTGGAGCCACCAGGAAGCCATCAGCCAAGAAAGTTGGGCACAGTGACTTTGTACTCTTCAACATCTGTACCAGCATAGCAAGGGGCGAAAGTATGTGGTCTTAGAAATATTCGGCAGATGGTGCAGCTTGTGGGCCACGCTATGCAAGCCAGCATTACGCTTCGGTGTGAATTTTCAGACGCATAATAGAGATCGTACTGATGTTGTGCAACACTGCAAGTGAGAAATGCAAAAACATACCGGTATGTCATTGACCTCAAAAAGGTTAAAAAACTAGAATTGAGGAGGAAATGAGAAATGTTAGAATTTTGCTGTGCAGAATTAGGCTTGGTGCTTTATTTGTCATTCTTTATATTTTTTTCTTCAATGCAGTGCTTCGACACAGCGCTGTCCACAATACAGCTGAGGCTTAATGATGAGTCCGCTACTGCGGCGCCGACACTGAATGTGGGCTCCTATCTCAGGTATGCTCATAATGTCTTTGACATTGCAGGCAGCTAATGGCATTGTTGTCTTTCATTGGCATACAATAAGTCTTTCATGTTCCTTCTTTGTTAAAAATTGATCGATTGATGGATTCATTCTTTGGGACATCAAGCAGTATTAATAGACATTTAAATATTTGTATTCTTCACCAAAAATATAAGTCGCTAATGAGGTGCTCTCAGTTCTTTTTAATGCTTTTTGATTCTTAACCCTCCTGCTTGTGTGTGCCAGCTGTTGCATCAGAGAAAGAAATCGTTCATGATTAACATCAACTGTCTTGACCTTTCAGTGCAGTATCCTGGTACGCTTACATTGACGGGCACATCGCTCATCTTACTCTCTCTCAACTTTTCCAGCAACGGTGGTTCCTTGCATCGGTTGATGTGGCAGTCAAGCGGAGACGCCGTCTTCCGCTGCCCGACGGCTGCCACCTTCAACTGTGCTGCCTTGTTGTTTGACGGGTGAGTCTGGGCAACGGCACTGGACTTGTGTTCATTGCTGTGGAATGCTAGTTATGGCACTCAGCTACTGACCTGAAGTTCGCGGGTTTGATCCCGGCCACAGCGTTAGCATTTAGATGGAGGCGATACGTTAGAGGCCCATGTACTTTGCCATGTCACTGCACATCAAAGAAGGTCACTACAGCATCTCCCATAATCATATTGCCACGTTCCATTTCCCAAGTTTTTGTTATCGTCCGAAAACACCGCACGATTCTCAGCGCAAACCGCGCCTGCAGTTTTCTAGAAGGTTCCGGACTGTAGTAGATCATTTCGATAAGATCACGCCCACTGTGCGAACGGTACAGATTGTTCTGGAAGCTACGCCACCGCCAGCGATAACGCTAGAACATTCGACGGCAAGAGTATAAATGCCGACGCGCTTCGCCGCTTGTCAGTTGTTGATCAAAGGCCGACGCTCCGTTCGCCGCTATCAGTCCGAGACTGCTATCTGTGCGAGACTGCTGCTGTAATTGGACTTTCAGTTTACCGAGCACAGGTTCGCCCAAATAAACAGTTAAATCCTAACACGAAGTCTCCTCTCTTCGGCCACGTCACGACCCCGTGACATCTGGTGGAGGTGCTGCTTCGTTCATGTACCGGACGCCCCCGTCAAGCCGTGAACCCAGCCCACGTCGCGTAGAAGACACCGACGCCAACCAGGAGCAGCGAACAAGCCACCGACAGCAAGGGACACCACCGGAGTACGGGCTTCTACAAGACAAGGCGCGGAAGACCAAGGCCATGACCGCGACTGCAGCGACAATGACAACCGCAGCGTCCCAGCCCACGATGGTCATGCATCAACCCAGGGAACCACCAATTTTCCATGGGTCATCGTTCGAACACCCGGAGTCCTGGCTGGAGACATACGACCGTGTGGCCGCCCTCAACCACTGGGACCATGACGAAAAGCTGCGTCGTGTGTTCTTCCATTTGGAAGACACCGCAAGGACTTGGCTTGAAAATCGGGAGTCCACGCTCCGAACGTGGGATGTTTTCTGCGGCGCATTCCTTCAAACGTACGCGAGCGTCGCTCGCAAAGAGAGGGCCGCTGCTTTATTAGAGACTCGGGTTCAGCTACCAAATGAAAATGTCGCCATTTTCACAGAAGAAATGACCCGACTATTCCGTCACGCTGATCCAGACATGCCTGAGGAGAAAAAAGTTCGTTTCCTCATGCGAGGGGTCAAACAGGAGCTCTTCGCGGGACTGATGAGAAACCCACCGATAACCGTCCAAGAATTTGTAGCAGAAGCGACCACTATCGAAAAGACCCTGGACATGCGCACCAGACAGTATAATCGTCGCCTGACTGCAGACTGCGCTGCTGCTCAAGCCAGTAACTCCGGAGACCTGCGTGAAACGATCCGAGCGATCGTGCGGGAAGAGCTGCGCAAGCTGTTGCCTTCGGCCCAGCCTCAAGTGGATTCAATTGCCGACATTGTGCGAGAAGAAGTTTGGCAATCGCTTCAAATTCCCCACGCACCGCTGCCCAAGCCGGAAGCTATGAGCTACGCCGCTGCACTGCGCCACAACGCTCCTCCCCGTCCACGCCAAAACGCCGCCCCATCGCACTTCCGTCGACAGACGCCACCGCCGCCACCACCCCCACCGACGTCATACCGTTCGCCAGCGGCCCAGCGCAGTGCACCAAGGAAGACTGACGTCTGGCGTACCCCTGACCATCGCCCGCTCTGCTACCACTGCGGCGAGGCTGGACACAGATACCGCCGTTGCCAGTACCGACAGATGGGACTGCGTGGCTTCGCCGTCAATGCACCGCGTCCACAACCAGGAGAACGACCACGTGACATCGCCGACTACCTGACAGGAACTCGGTGGACACCACGAAGCCCTTCGCGTTCGCCGTCGCCCAGCCGCCGCACGTCACCGCACCACCGGCAGTACTCTGGCCCAACGCGGAGCCGGTCTCCTAGCCCGCATCCGGGAAACTAAAGGCAGCAACCGGTGGAGGTGCGGTTGCTGTGCGACGAACTACCGAAGATCCTCCTACGACGACGACGCCGCGACGGAGCTTTCCGAACACAACGCCAGCCAGGCAAAGCCCTGACGGCGAAAGCTCATTTACCGAAGGTGGCCTGACGACGCAGCATGGAAGCAGCGGAACAAGCCGACGCAGCCGTGACCCGACGCCACGCCCTAACTGTAATGCGAGACGGCGAACTAGCGACCTCGACGTTCTTATCGACGGCCACAGTGTGACTGCTCTCGTCGATACTGGAGCCGACTATTCTGTCATCAGTGGGTCGTTCGCCGCGAAGTTAAAAAAAGTTAGGACAGCTTGGAAAGGCCCTGAAATCCGCACAGCCGGAGGTCATCTCGTAACGCCTGCAGGAATCTGCACAGCGAGAGTCACCATTAACGGCCGTATTTATCCTACAGACTTCGTAGTCCTACAGCGTTGCTCGAGAGATGTCATCCTTGGCATGGACTTCTTATGCCTCCATGGTGCTGTCATCAACCTAAAAACAAAGTCGATAACGTTATCCACAGAAGAAGCACTACCGCCGCGCACGCCGTCAGGACACCATGCCTTGAATGTGCTGGAAGAACAAGTCACCATTCCGCCTCGCTCAAGCGTCATTATTTCAGTCGGCGCTCCTAAATCACCTGACTTGGAAGGCGTCGTTGAAGGCAGTCAGCATCTGTTGGTCACCCGAAATATTTGCGTCGCAAGAGGAATGGCAGAGCTGCGGGGAGGCAAAGCAACGGTTTTGCTCACGAATTTCAGCAATGAGTACAAACATGTGAACAAAGGAACAACAGTCGCATACATCGAAGAAATTGTCGATGCCACCAGTGCTTTCGCCCTTGCCGATTCTGTGGAGCCTGCTCAGAGGAACCAAGCCCCTCCCCTAGCTTTCGACGTCAATCCCAGACTTCCGAACGCTAAGCAAGAACAGCTCAAGGCCCTGCTCCTGCAATACGAAGATTGCTTTTCGTCGTCATCGAAAATTCGGCAGACCCCAATCACGAAACATCGCATCATAACCGAAGAAAATGCCAGACCACTCCGTCAGAGTCCGTACAGGGTTTCGACGCGAGAACGTGAGGCCATGAAGAGACAAGTTGATGAAATGCTGCGGGATGACATTATTCAGCCGTCCAAGAGTCCATGGGCATCCCCCGTGGTGTTAGTGAAGAAAAAGGATGGGACCCTACGTTTCTGCGTCGATTATCGCCGCCTGAACAAAATCACAAGAAAGGACGTGTATCCCCTCCCACGAATAGACGACGCACTTGATCGGCTCCATAACGCCAAGTACTTTTCGTCAATGGACCTTAAGACTGGCTATTGGCAAATTGAAGTCGACGAAAGAGACCGAGAGAAGACGGCGTTCATAACACCGGACGGCCTCTTCGAGTTTAAGGTGATGCCCTTCGGCCTTTGCTCAGCGCCTGCAACGTTTCAACGCGTTATGGATACAGTACTGGCAGGATTGAAGTGGCAGACTTGCCTTGTGTACTTGGACGACGTCGTCGTGTTTTCCTCAAGTTTCGACGAGCATCTTCGGCGCCTTGAAGCTGTACTTCAAGCCATCAAGACTTCCGGACTCACACTGAAGCCAGAAAAGTGCAGATTTGCGTATGAGGAGCTCTTGTTTCTGGGGCACGTTATCAGCAAGTCTGGAGTTCGTCCCGATCCACGGAAAACAGCCGCCATCGCCGACTTCCCGCCGCCCACTGACAAGAAGGCCGTGCGCCGATTTCTGGGCCTGTGCGCCTATTATAGGCGGTTCGTGAAAAACTTCGCCCGCATCGCCGATCCTCTCACTAACCTTACCAAGGCCGACGTGGAGTTTAAGTGGGAAACGCCGCAGGAACACGCTTTCCAGGAGCTTAAACATCGCCTCCAGACGCCTCCGTTACTTGCCCATTTCGACGAATTCGCCGAGACAGAAATACATACTGACGCAAGCAGCGTAGGTCTTGGCGCCGTTCTTGTGCAGAGGGCTGACGGACTTGAAAGGGTTATTAGTTACGCCAGCCGATCGCTATCCAAAGCAGAAGCAAATTATTCCACAACAGAAAAGGAGTGCCTCGCCATCATCTGGGCTACGTCGAAATTTCGCCCCTACCTCTACGGCAGGCCCTTCAAAGTTGTGAGCGACCACCACGCATTGTGTTGGCTAGCCACCTTGAAGGACCCCTCAGGTCGCCTCGCACGATGGAGCCTGAGACTTCAAGAATATGACATTACTGTCATTTACAAGTCCGGCAAAAAACACTTTGACGCCGACTGTCTGTCTCGTGCGCCTGTCGACCAACCGCTACCCGACGACCCGGATGACGACTACTTCTTAGGAACGATAACTACCGACGACTTCGCTGAACGACAGAGGGCCGACCCGGAACTTAAGGCCCTAATAGAATACCTCGAAGGCAGGACCGCCGAAGTCCCGAAGATATTCAAGCGCGCACTTGCGTCGTTCTTTCTACGAAACGGTCTTCTACAAAAGAAAAACTTTTCACCGCTTCGAGCTAAGTACCTTCTTGTGGTGCCTTCAGCTCTGCGACCAGAACTCCTGCAGGCCCTTCACGATGATCCGACGGCAGGGCACCTCGGTGTTTCTCGCACGCTCGCGAGGATACAAGAAAGGTACTACTGGCCACGTCTTACCACCGACGTCACTCGTTATGTGAGAACATGCCGGGACTGTCAGCGACGCAAGACACCGCCGACAAGGCCAGCGGGACTTCTGCAGCCAATTGATCCACCTTGCCGACCTTTCCAGCAGATTGGTATGGACCTACTGGGGCCGTTCCCGACGTCGGCTTTCGGAAACAAGTGGATCGTGGTAGCTACCGACTACCTCACCCGCTACGCCGAGACAAAAGCCCTGCCAAAAGGCAGTGCATCCGAAGTAGCTAAATTCATCGTCGAAAATATCGTCCTACGTCATGGCGCCCCAGAGGTCCTTATCACCGACAGAGGA